GGGCATGTGAGCACATACGAGAAAAGATTTTAGGGGGACCCACGGGTTTGTAAGTAGTGTGCGGGGCAGGGATGAGGGGGTGTTTTGTTGTTTCAACGGAAAGTAGATGTCCAGCTCATCATCTTATATTTTTACATTACTAGTTGGATTGCACGTGCAATGCACGTGGTAAATTTTTTTTGTTGTTTAGTTTTTTTTGGAGAAGTTTCGATCTTATTTATAAATTTTTTGCTGATGATGTTTCTGATGCTTTCGCCTTTAAGTGATGTGAGCAGATCCACAAAAGCTTATTACGTTGCAAACAAGAAACACCTAAAGCACTCCCATATTTAAATATTATTATTATTATTATTATATATTATATAATCTTAATAGCTTTTGAAACAAAAAACTATTAATTTTTTTTTTATCCTGCACCTAGATTTTTATCCCAGCATAGAGACCAGTATGAAAATTAAAATTAGTTTTTCTTTCAAAACTATTAAGATTAAGCAGTCACTTCCTCCAATTTTCTTAAAACCAGCTTAATCGTGATTCAAGAAGTATCTACATAAAACTACGTACGTGTTTGTGTGCCGTGCGTGCATGTAAAAGAGAGAGGAAAAGGGAAGCACATTATATATGTAACTAATCCTCATTTGATAAAAATGCAGATTAAGTTGAGCTTCTTTTACATTGCTTCTACTATTTGTATGATGTATAAATTGTTGCCAATAAGGGGAGTGACCTATCCACCTTAGAAAATGTGTTATGCCGAGAGAAAAACAAGGACCACAATGCATGTTTAGACAGCCTAGAACTTGATAATCCAGCCAGTCAAAATACGCTACCTCTAACAACCCTCTCAAGTTTTGCCTGACAGCTGCTACTAATCGCAAAGACCACTTCTCCGTGTTACTCCATCTTGGGATTTTTCTTAGAGTAGCTATTAGAAGGCTCACCAGAAAGCTTTATTAAGAAGACTCACCATGTCTTTTAACATGAACACACAAGGGGAAAAACTGAGATATTGAGCACATGCTCTTAATCTTGTAGTGATGTCTACGTAAGTGAGCTGGAAACAAAAAAAAGCAATTGCAAGAACTTAAAGAATCAATCTCTCATATTATTTGGGTAT